AGACATCAGAATAATCCAAATAGAGAGTTTGGGGCAAGCGGTCGGGGGAGGTACAGGTGTTTCTGTCCTTCCTTCCAGTATGTCTCAAGCAATCCCAGAATTCCCCTGGGTACCTGACAATGTTCCACTCTCCTTTATAAGGAATTTTTTTTTAATTCCAAAGAACCATGTCAATTTTCTGAATTCATATATTCAATATTCGAAGTGTTGTGTGCAGTCAAAAGGAATAAGATATTCTGTGCATCTGAAGCAAAATCAGGCTGATCCAGTTCATTCGCCTCAGGGGAGAGACTGCATCCTGTGATTCACTACCTTTTAAAAGTACTGAAACCAACAAAGGCATCTTCCAGAGCTTTCCAAGAGCTCCACCAGGGGGATAAGGATTAACTCTGTCTCTGTATAAAATATATAAACATACTCTTTATCTTTGAATATATAGCCATCTAAATTTGGAGACTCATTCTCATGAATATTTAAGTAATCAGTAAGTAATAGTAATCATTCTCATTTTATAATTAAACTCAATGGGTCTTATTTTTAATTTAGGGTGAGTTTTTTTCTCTTTCTCAGGCAATCAAAGCAATTCTTGATGAACGTGTGATTTATCTAGTAAGAAACAGCTACCAAAATAAAAAGTCACTGTACTATGTAAAAAAAAAAGTGGATTAAATCAGATAAATTTTTGACTCATATAATTAAGATGATGTTTAATTTTTTAAATTTCCAAACCACAGATGTACAAGCCAAAATATATATGATCAGCATATATGTCTGTATGTACTAGTGTGATGCAATATAGGAATATCAAATGACCTTGCATTTGTGGTAGAATTATCTTCCAGAATCCAAGTTGACCTTTACTTTATCCATATTCCATATTTACTCCAAAACCTATTTTTAATTTTTTTCTTATAAACTAAACATTTTATTAAAAATTATACCTTTCATGTGCATCTACTGTTATCTACAACAAGGACAGAAAGATTTCCATTAACTTATCTTTGCCTTCACACATAGTTGGACAGATGAATTTAATAAGGACTTTTTAAATTTTTTTATTTTTTTATTTATTATTTATATTTTATATATATGAGTGTATTGCCTGCATGTATGTGAGTACACCCATGTCGAGTACACCCATGTATGTCGTTGACCGTGTCGAGGTCAGAAGAGGGCTTTGGATTCCTCTGGACCTGGAGTTAAGGATGGCTCATAACCACCATATGGGTGCTGGGAATCAAACCCAGGTCCTCTGCAAGAGCAGTCAGTGCTCTTAACCGCTGAGCCATCTCTCCAGCCCCCAGGATTTTTTAGTGCTTAGAATAGTAATACTTCTAAATCAACTCTGAAGCAGTGACTCTGGACAGTACTTCATACAGCAGGCAACTGGTAGAGGGAACATGAACTCTCCTATTCCTAGGTTTGTGGCTGTTGGCTTGGCATCTAGGGGATGCTTGCCCCAGCACAGTCCTGGTATCAAGAGCATTCTTGAATATTAAGTTCCATAGTTTATTTTGTATGGATTTCAACACTTACTGTTAACAATGGAGCATCTTACTCTTTCACAGGGTAATAATTTCTTGATGATAGAAACTGTATCTTATTTGTGTTTGTGTCCTCAATGGTAATGCAACTCTTTGCATGGAATAGTGTTCCAGAATGAATAACTCTTCTTCATCAGCACAAGATTGTCTAAAATTTGGCTCAGAATAAACCATCCCATCTGCCACTGCTTTCCTCTGCTTCTCTGAATTTCTCCCACAAATGACCTAAAATGAAGCACTTGTCAAGTCCTCTAGGCACAGAACATGAATTAATTTGTTAAATTTTTCTGTACCCTTAATTGTTAGACAGAGAGATTTTTAAGAGAGATGAGGCTTGAAAGACATATTGAGGTTAATATTAGTTTGAAATATTTTAAGAGATCTCCCCCCTTTACTGATTATGACACAGATAGAATATGCTGTACAGCTGTTTGGTTTTGTACATTATTTTCTCCATTCTTTTGGTATCATGTTTTTTTTGAATGAGAAGTTAAAGAATAAAAAAGCCATGGGTTTCAAAATGCATACAACCATTTGGTCTTGGCCACATAGGTCTCTGTATTAGATATCTTCTTTCTGTTTATCTGCTAGGAAGTTTGATCCTGGACTAATCGCAGGGCAAGCAATGCTCATTGAGATATAATTCCTGTCCTCAGAGGTTTGAACTCTAGAGGGATAGAAGTGGCATGAAAGTATGAATGTGACATATAAATTTAAGTGCTGCAATAGGAAACACATAGGAAATTGTGGAAACTTCTAAGACCTGAACTTGAAGCTGTGGAAATCCAATGACTCATTGTACAGGATGTGCATTGTGAATCAAATCCTGTACAAATATGAGTTGTTACAGAAGTAGAATATGGCATAGATCTATTCCTTTGATGGACAGATATCTTGTATATGAATAATTACTGTTTCCACTTTTCATGCTGAAAACCTACACTTATTTGCTTAGGAAAGCTACTTAAACTTTATTTCAGAAGTTAATAGAGTATTAAGGAAGTTATATTAACCTTAAATCATAATTATCAAATAATCTAATAGGATTTATCTATTTGAAAACCTTAGGTTGGGAGCCAGTGAAATGGTCCAGCAGGTAAAAGTATTTGTAGCCAAAACTGACAACCTGAGTTCAACCATATTATGGAAGGAAAGATAGGACACATATGATGGAAGGAAAGAACTGATTCCTGAAAGTTGTCCTCTAACCTCCACATGGGTCCATGGCATACATACATAGAAGTGTCATACACACACACACACACACACACACACACACACACAAAACACATACACATATACACACACATATACATGCACATT